GACAGGCAGATATGTACCATCATGGGTCTATGAGTTCTATGCTACACTTTGGATCGACCCAGGCCACAGATTTATTCACTTTGCATTCAGAGGCCGCGACTACAGGCTGATGAGCTTCAGGGTCAGAGAGATCCTTAGATTATAGGAGTTACCCATCCGCATTCACGAGGTTTGCTATGGACACACAAAGCCTCCTAGACGCCCTCACGACGGTCTTGTGCCTCCCACAGATCTCATTCGACCTTGCTTCATAGAGCCATTCGACGAGGGATCGAGTAGGACACCCAGAGATCTTACTCCTATAGCCAGACTGCTTCATGCTATCATGAGGAGGACCCTGCTTCCGAGGATGGGATATTGCGAGGGATTGACTCGCATTCAGTTGTGGCTATTGAACACTCTGATGCAGCAGACAGTCTTTGATGTATGGGATGTCATTCTTTCTGAGATAGAGGATACACTTGTAGAGGGATTTAGATGTCACAGGCAGCTACCGTATGCTCACTGGATTACTTTTCTGATTCACAGGGCAGTCACAGTGAGGGATCCTGAGATGTTGGCAGAGTATTCTGGAGCCACTACAGAGTTTCCAGCATACAACTTGACCCAGATGCTCTGTCACAGTGCAGTGAGGGCACCTAGCTAGCTGAGCCGTCGCCCCGAGGTGCCAGAGTCTGCAGCCCAGCAGAATGAGACTATCAGGGGCATAGCAGCTACAGAGGAGGAGGTAGATGCTCAGCAGGAGGGTATGGTCGAGAGCGACCCCAGCGATAGTACATATGATGACTACCAGGATATCCCTCGGATGCCTCTTCGATGACACGACGGTGAGGCTAGTGGCTCCAGCTCAGCTCCACAGGCACCGCAGACAGACCACGCTCTTCTTGCTATACTTGAGCGGATGAGGCAGGATCAGGCTCGCCAGGCCCAGGAGACAGCAGCCGCTCTAGCGCAGGTTCAGTTACTCGATGACATGTTGCAGTACTACTGGTTGAGATGTTGTAGTATATAATTTTTGATGTTGCAGTACTACTGTTTGAGATGTTGCAGTACATAATTTTTGATGTTGCAGTACATAATTTTTGTTGTTGCAGTACATATTTTCCGATGTTGCAGTACATATTTTTTGATGTTGCACTACATATTTTTGTGATATTGCAGTAATTATATTCTGATGTTGCACTACATAGTTTTTCCATATGTGCGATATTGCACTTGAAGTGTTTTGTGCTCTTTGGGACAGTGGCGCGGTTGGGGAACGGGGTGCATTGGGGAACGGGGACAGGGGTGCGGTGGGGAACGGAGGACAGGGCATGGTGGTTGCAATTCCATTCCATTCTGCGCGGGGGTGTGTGTGGAGGGGGCAGGCGCTTTGGGAAGGGGAGCAACGTCCGGACGCAGCACTAGCGCCGGATGTCCAGGCGCTAGGATGCATGTAGTGTGAAGCATGCATCTGAATCTGGTCTGTCCCCTTGGGAGGTTTTAATGGCCATGTTTTTCTATGGTAAATTACAAACTATCAAGTTGATTCGCACAGATAGCACGGATATTTAGTTTGCATACTATAGTATCTAGATTTTTATTTAAATATCCTTTTTCATAAATACTTTATTTAGTTTATTATAATTGTCTTCTTTGGATGTGTGTTTACTCTATTTATTGGCATGAACTCCAATTCTAAATCACAAGGGAACATCTGGGGATATTAAAAACTGATTTCTCATTGTGCGCAACCTCGATCGATTGGTTTTGCTCATTGAACCGATGCCGATCAGAATCTTGTTCTCATCAATGTTGTTTGGCTACTACAAGTGTTTAATATACTTGATAGGGTCATCCAATAGTAATAAACCTAGAGAATTTTAAAATAAATTAGTTTATTGTCCGATGCATATATTTGTCTCCCAATTTTTGTAGTTCACCCGATATTGCCTAAAGATGTGGCTACAATCCTTTTCTTTGTGACCGACGCTCGTCGGCCTTTAGTGCCACCACTTGATGGTTGGTGCCTTCAATGATATTATCAAGGATCACATGAAGGTTAAAAAAACTCTTCGATATTCTTAGTACTTTTTTCTTCCTTTTAATTTCCACTAGAGCAAATATTGACAGAATTTGTTCTTTGGCATCATCTAGTTACATGCAATCGATCGAGTTGCCATCTACATAAGCTTTGATCTGCATCTAAATTAGATTATATTATTTTTCTTGTCATATCGGCCATAAGCCTTGTATTTGACATGGATTAAGCCTTGAATTTGACATGGATACAAGGCTTATGTCAAATACAAGGATACAAGGCTTATGTCAAATACAAGGCTTAATAGAGTATCCATGTCAAATACAAGGCATAATTTAGACCAAGGATTAATAAAGTATCCATGACATGACATGGATACTTTATTAATCCTTGGTCATTAGATCATCATAAAATCCAATGATGTATTTTTTTGATAAATCTCATAATTTTTAGGTCTTGTATTTGATATGTGTACTCTATTTTTGTTCTCGGCCATCACATTAGATCGTCATAAAACCCAACGATACATATTCTTTTATTAATATCGTAATTTCTAGATCTTGTATTTGACATGGGTACTCTATCTACTCTTAGCCATTTGGTCATTATAAAATGATATATATATTCTTTTCCTTTTTTATTAATCTCATAATTTCTAAATGTATATTCGGTATGGATACTCTATTTATTCTTAGTTGTTGTTAGATCCAACGGTCCACTCCTTCCTAGCCTTCTAGGCTCTTTAGGCCCTTCCCCTCCTCTTGTTTGCTTGTTTGTACAAACTTTCAGTTTTCTTAATTAATTTTCAGTAGAGGTGAAAACCCCTCCTGATTTCTTAAATACTTTCCTCTTAATGAAAAACTTGTGCTCCGGCACATGTTCGTGAAAAAAAAAATTCTTGAAGAAATAAAAAATCCAACGGTCCAACAACTCCGTCGATGCGAGTCGAGCAAGCAGACAAACAAGCTCTTGGCCTCTTGGGTAAGCGGATCGTCGCTGATCTGAAGCAGGCGATTCTCCGGTTCCCTCCTCCTCCAGGATAGGCCGCCGGATCGGCGACACATGACAGGATCGGCAGGATATGGATACGGTGTCCGCCCCTCGTCGGAGACCCGTATTTTGGGGATCACCGCGGTTAGTTACTGGTACTTGATAGTCTGATGAGGACAGGGGGATATACGAGACAGGAAGGTTGATAAATGCATCAGGACGACGCTAAGGGTGCTGTCAGAAGAGTGCGGTCAGCAGCACGTAATTATACTTCCATGCTTGTGGTATGCGGTTTTTCGTGTCCCACGTGCCACAATCAATTCACAATGCCATGGTGCCCGGACGGAATCCCCGAAAGGCATCTGCAGCGGCTCTGGTTTTCCAACGCCCGATGTGAGCCGATCGAGCCAACAACCTGGCGGCGCGGGCCCGCCAGAGCCAACAACCTCTGCGTCAATTCGAAAAGACGATGGTAGTGGCGGTTAGAGTTTTTAGGTGAGCTCTCATGGTCATTGGGCTTAGAAAGGGAAGGGTCTAATGGTGGTGGCGGGTTGAGGGGCGCGAGCGAGGCGGCAGCGGTGTTGCCGAGCGAGCGGTGGAAGACAATCAGATGGGCGGTGGCAGCAGCGGAGGCGAGGATTCACCAACGAATTCTCCAATTGGGATTAGGGCAGGGCGGGATTGTCCGACGGGGGTGGATGGTGGGCGGGGAGGTCTCTGGCGGCCCGGATGGTGGTCGGGGTAGACGAGGTGGGGGCTGGGTGACTGGGTCTGGTGAGGAAGAAGACGGTGCGCCGATATCCATAGCGGCGCCCGCATCGAGTAAGAGGCCTTTGTGGAGAAGGTCAGGCCGTCAGGGACATGCCACTGGCCACCGAATGTTACCGGTCTGCACAATGGAGGCAAGAGCTGGATCAGCAAGAAGGACGGAGGAGTTGAAACTGTAGGAGAAATTACGACCATCTATGCGAAATCTAAGACCTAGGAACGTAGCAATTTCACAGAAGTCATGCATTATAAAATTCAGTTTAAATAACATAAGGGCGAGGTGCCCGGCCGTCCAAAGTCCTCCAAGCTAAAGCATAATCACGAGTTGTCCAAGAAGAGGACAAGAAGCACAAGAGTGGCAAGCTCGTCGTGCCGAGCGCTCTCAACACCTGAGTAGTTCAGCTTGAGCTATTAGTTAGTTTTTTTGCTGATGCGTTTTGATCCATTAATTAGAACTAATTTTATGTAGCTACTCACTTCTTGTTGGAATACAGTGTATCCTAGAGATTTCAAGGCACGATACGAGAGAATACAAAGACTCGTGTACCCTCACTTCGTTTACTAATCAATTTGATCCTCGCATATATAGACGTTGCCATCACTGTATTTAAAGAGAAATAAACTGCTTGATAGTTGTCAAGTAATACTGTAATAGTATGGTACCTATCTAATTTGTGCACCTATATATCTAGTGCAAAATGGTCCTTTTGCCTTTAAATTCTCTTGCATTTGGGTATGATTTTTAGTGCTTGCATCTAATCGGGCAATGATTCTTATTCATTGGATCTAAATCAGATGACTTTGAAGCTTCTTCTTCCTTTATTTGTTTCCTTCAGCGGTCAGGTGCATTTAGTTTTGCGTTTTCAGGCGCCTGCACTATAGGAAGCGTGCAAATGTAATACTCTACCGTGTTTCACCTCTCTCATCTGTCCCCATTATTGATGATCAATTGAGCCATATATTCTACAGCCCTTCAACTAAGCCATTCTTTTGCATATATATATAGCGGCGTGGTACCCTGTTCTGGAGTATCAGACAAGCTAGCGTCTCATCCCTCTTACGCGCAGCAGCAGGTCTCACGCATTACGTACGTACGTAAGCACAAGCAGCTAGCAACATGTTGATCTAGCTATCCCATTATTTGCACACACATCTAGTCTAGTGGCAAGTTTATCGAGGCATGCACTAACCTCCTCATGCTGCATGCATGCTTGCAGGCTCCATGTCTTCGCCTGGATCCAACGGAGGAGCGGCTCGCGAGGACGATCCCACCGGCCTCGGCGAGCCGCTGCTCACGAACGACGATGCCGGCGGGTTCCACACCGAAACGCTAGCCACAGTGGTCGTGGCCGCCACCACTGCACCCAACGGCAATGCCAAAGTGATGAAGGGTTCCATGAAGGCGGAGGCGAAGGACGACGACAGGTACTGGGTGGATGTCCACCGAGAGCCGAACGCAGTAACAACGGCGGCGGACCTGGAGAGCGGGGGCGACGGTGGCCGGCCGCTCATGTTCCGAGAAAAGAAGGTCAAGCCAGCCCTCCTCTACCTCTACACACTACCGGAGACTGTGTAGTTACCGAGTGCCCAGAAAATTACCGAGTGTTAAAAGTCGGGACACTCGGAAAACATTTATTACCGAGTGCCAACACTCGGAAAACATAAACACCCGGTAGTAGACCTCTTTACCGAGTCGGAACACTCGGTAACCTCAAACACTCGGTAGAACTACAATTTTACGAAGGCGACTTTCGGTAAAAAGAGACACTCGGTATTGAGCTGCCACGTCTTCTAGTATACCAACCCATGGCGTAAACGGCGTCACGGCATGACATGTTTGCCGAGTGTAGAAGTATTTGCACTCGGTAATAATAAAGTTTTACCGAGTGTAAGTTAACAACACTCGGTAAACACTATCTTTACCGAGTGTCTTGGCGCCAACACACTCGGTAAAATTCAACCAAATTTCTTGTTTTTCCCTTCATTCTTTTCCTCTATCCACATATGATATTTAGTACTCCATTCCAAAATATGGTGTTTATTTCGATTTATTTACTATATTTCACAAAATTTTCATTCTTTATGATAATTAGATACATATCGTAAAATTTAATTGTAATAATGAAAATCGAACTCGATAAATCACGAGATTGGAAGAATTAACATTGAAGCATACATCTATATTATAGAAAAATTTTCATAACGTTTCGAAGTATTTTTACATTAAATCATTTGCCGAACCGGTACATCTCCCAAAGAGACACTAAACATTCACAATGACGAATAGGATTTCTATTAAGAGTGAAATTCAACATTATGATTTGAACTTGGAATTTTTAGATAGTAAATAGATGATATGAAATAGTTCGTGTGAAAGTTTGGTGAATTTTAGGATTAAATTGGCATTTTTCTTTTTTTGTTTTGCATGAAATAATGGATACTGATTCTGAGTGTGACCTGAAACACTCGGTAAAGGTTCCACGACCCACTTCTACCGTCTGCCATGCTTACATTTGCAGAGTGTCGTAGATCTGGGCACTTTCGGTAAACATGTACCAAAACCCACATGTCACTGGGCTTTGCGTGCTTGTTTCTGAGTGCCGTGATCTGGGCACTTTCAGTAAACATGTACCAGGCCGCCAGACTCGACTTCGCCTCGCCCTCCACCCGAGACTCACTCGCCCTCCACCCGAGACTCCCGCGACTCGCCCTCCACCCGAGACTCCGACTACGCCTCCACGCGCCGCCGCCGTCCACCCAGCGACTTCGCCTTGCCATCTCCCACCTGGCCCTCCACCATGACTACTTCGCCTCACCGCGCCGCCGCCGTCCACCCGCAACTTCTCCCTCCACGCGCCGTCCCGTGACTCGCCTCACGCCTCGCCTCCCGCTTCATCCACGGACGTCGCCCGCCCACCCGCCCGCCGTCGGCCGGGCGCTTTGGCCGCCCAGCGTCATCCGCGAGCCGGGAAGAAGGCCGTCCGCCCAGCGATCATCAGTCGATTCAGTTCCAAGACTCCATCTTCTACCTCCTGTCATTGCCAGCAGCCCACGAGGCCGCAGCCCATGCCGGGCAGCATCCACGCTTAGCGGCAGTGGTGGGGCACGAGCACGCAAGCCTGCGATGGACGAGGAGATGAGAGCGCCAGAGTAGAGCCCGTTACGGATAGTTCCACTCGCTAATTGATCTTCAAACGATTTACAGTTCATGATCTGCCCTTTATTTTCTATGATGATTCCATTCTCGGTTGTCTCCGTGTTAATGTCTATATTTGAATTAACTTTAACCAAGTGTTACATATACAAATGGAAAAAAAGAGGGCAGAAATTCATTTCATGCTTGCATTTTGTTAGCAGGAAAAGAAGGGCAGATCAGCGGGGTGCTGCAAGAAGCTTACACGCCGTTGACGGGGCAGCAGTAGGTGCTCGGTGACAGACGGTGCCGCCCACAACGAGCGGGGCCAGCTGGGAGCGGTGGGTGCCGCAGATGCTTTAGGCGGCAGACATTGCTCCTCCTGTCTGGTGAGCTTCACTGGGAAGAGAGTGGTGTTCCTCATCAAGCAGCTCAAGTCCGGCATACTCGTGTCTGGTGAGCATTGCTCCTCCTCGTGGGTAAATGCTACCTCCTAAACAAGACAGAATAATGGCTGATTTAGAAAGGATGAGCCACACTATACATAGGCTAGGAATTAGTATACTCCTCCATGATCAATACTTACATAAGCAATGCCGTGTGAAAACTAATCTCAATTCTCATTTGATATCTTCTATTATAGCTAGGTCAACTACCACGCTGGGATCCAAGTATCCTACTACGTTGATTTGGCATCTAATATAAGCAATCTTCTACAGCTGGATCGAACAACGATCAAGATTTGGACTTGTCTCCGTTTCTCGGTAGGGCTCCGACCATGTGACAGGACCATGTTTCACTTGTTTGTATGTTGAACTTAGAAGTGGGTTGAACTTTGTGGACTTTGGACATGTTGATGGTGTTTGTGGACTTTGCATTGTGCTTGTGACATTTGTTGTAGCTATATGTTGGTTATAATGAGTGGATGTGACATTTGTGGACATATATGTGATATATAATGTCTATCTGTTGGTAACTGTGATATTCTGTTATAATTGTTGTTAATTGTGGCTGGATATGCACTGAAACAAACAAAAAAAAATACTGTGGACAAGTTTTACCGAGTGTTACACTCGGTAATGGTCTTGTTTACCGAGTGTTACACTCGGTAAAACAGAGAACAGAACCAAATTGGTTCTGATTCTGTTAATTTTGCCGAGTGGTGCCATTTTTTACCGAGTGCCACGACCCCACTCGGATATATGTGCCATTTTTTACCGAGTGGAACACTCGGTTAACGAGTTACATGTTTACCGAGTGTTACTGGTACACTCGGTAAACTATATCAGGGAAAAATATTTGCGGAATTGTTTTAATCATGAAAATGGTTATCTTTTTACCGAGTGCTATGTCTAACACTCGGTAAACGACGCCGTTAACGGCGAGCTTGGGGACTGACGACCGTCACGTCGTAGTTGTTTACCGAGTGCCGGCGTAGCACTCGGTAAGATTTATTCTCCGAGTGCCCCGTTAGTTGACACTCGGTAAACTAACTTTACCGAGTCGTTGTTTACCGAGTCATGTTTACCGAGTGTGGCACTCGGTAAACAATTTACCGAGTGTTTCTCCATATTTGCCGAGTGTTTATCACACTCGGTAATTAATCAGTATCCCGTAGTGACAGGTGATATGAATTTCATTAACAAATGTGCGTCCAACACCTTAATAAAAATTGGACTTCTGTATTGGGACTTGTATCATGCCATGCTGTGGATTTGGCCTCCGTCTGCACCTCTAACACACTAATGACGTCTGTTTAAAAAGTTCACTTAATAAACAAGGCTTATACCGCTCATAACTTGACTGAATATGGATGTGTAATTCCTTTGACGCTCGACATTTTAGTGATATTTTCCTTTGTGCTAACACAGGTCACTAATCCTGACACGCCTCGTCGCCGTCATCTTATTCATCGGATGGCGCATCAAGCACAATAACTCTGACGTCATGTGGTTCTGGACGACCTCTGTCGTTGCCGACGTCTGGTTCACCTTCTCGTGGCTGCTCTACCAGATGCCGAAGTTCAATCCCATCAAAAGGTCCCCCGACCTGGATGCTCTACGGCAGTACTGCGACCTCCCTGATGGCGGCTCCATCCTCCCGGCCATCGACGTCTTCGTCACCACCGCTGACCCCATCGATGAACCGGTGTTGTACACTATGAATTCTGTCCTCTCCATCCTCGCCGTTGACTACCCCATTGATAGGTATGCGTGCTACCTATCTGATGATAGTGGCACACTGATCGAATATGATACTTTGGTTGAGACGGCAAACTTTGCCGCTTTGTGGGCGCCCTTCTGCCGGAAGCACTCCATTGAGCCGAGAGCTCCAGAAAGCTATTTCCAGCGGGAGGGGATGATCTACACCGGCAAATCACCGAGTGAGTTCATTAACGACTATAGGCATGTGCAACTGGAGTATCAACAGTATAAGGCAAGGTTGGAAATGCTCACTAGCACTATTAGAGAGAGATCGGACTTCTACAACAGTATCAAAACAACAGAAGGGGCTGTAAAGGTGACTTGGATGGCGAATGGGACACAGTGGCCAGGAACATGGTTTGAGCCAATAGACAACCATAGGAAAGGACATCATGAAGGAGTTGTTCAGGTATAGAATCAACTTTATGGTTATGAATAATGTCATAAGACTTTTAGAAAAGTACTTTATATTTTGTAATATTTAGATACATACAGAGTAAATTACACGTGTGGTACTTAAACCTATTCTTAGATTCCCATCCAGGCCCCCAAGCTCTGAAAACCACAGATCTAGATCTCTAATATACCCCTATTTATGTAGCACACCTAGGCCCATTGCCTTCCACCTAGGCATCAAGGAGGGGAAGGGTGATGCTATGGCGCTAGCATGGTCGACCTCGACATATACGGTCCATAGGGACCAAGTCATCCAATCTCTCTCTCTCTCCCCCACATAGGTGGGCCAAAGAGTGGCAACATCAAGGAGGGGAAGGGAGAGGCCTCACCATGGCACATGTTGGGGGAGGTTGGAGTGGCGACTATGTAACTCACGGCTGGAAATCGACCATTGTGGTTCATTTGGCTTTGAATCAGTATCAAAAAGGGTGGGGTCAAAGGTGACGTATATCGGAGAAGGTGGGAGAGAGACAATGCATGTCATGTGGAGTCACATGTCGGGTTCCACATTAGTGTGCCATATCAACTTCAAGGCTATGACATTGTTCCTTTGGATGGGAATCAGTGTATTTAAATATATTATGGACCCATTAGATCTGCAATTCTGGAAATAGTTTAGGAACCACCAATATAGTTTATTGATAATTAACATGCAAAATTCCTAATGATGTGCTTCTTTGTTTGACAGGTTGTGCTGGAGCATCCAAATGGTAGTAAGGCGCAACATGACAGTAATGTGAACCCACTCAATTTTGATGGCATTGATGCACGTCTGCCAATGCTTGTCTACATGGCTCGTGGAAAGAGCCCATGTTATGACCACAATAAGAAGGCGGGTAACTTGAATGCCCAACTACGGGTTTCTGCTCTACTCTCTAATGCACCCTTTGTCATCAATTTTGACTGTGACCACTACATCAATGATTCTCGGGCTTTGCGAGCTGCTATGTGCTTCATGCTAGACTCAAGGGAAGGAGATAACACAGCCTTGGTTCAGTTCCCCCAATGTTTTGAAAACGTTGACCCAACAGACAGATATGGCTATCCAAGGACCTTCTTATCTCAGCACCAGTTGCATGTTTCGCCGCCTTGCGCTCTGTGGTATTGACCCACCACGCTGGAGACCTAATGACATTCCGGTTGATAGTAGCAAGTTTGGTAACTCCATACCCTTCTTGAACACAGTGTTAGAATCCTTAAAACAAGAAAGCCGCATCTCACCGCTAAACTTAGATGACTCATTTATTGCTAATATGATGTTGGTCGTATCATCTTCCTTTGATATAGGGACAGACTGGGGGAGGGGTGTTGGGTACATATATGAGATGGCAACTGAGGACATGGTGACTGGCTTTCGCATCCACAAGCAAGGGTGGCACTCCATGTATTGCACCATGGATGTGGATACGTTCCGTGGCACTGCACCAATCAACCTAACTGAGCGTCTCTACCAAATTGTTCGATGGGCTGGTGGTTCTGTAGAGATGTTCTTCTCCCATAACAACCCATTATTAGTTGGATGGCGGCTCCACCCAATGCAACGAACTGTATACCTCAATTACAATATCTACCCTATCACATCACTTTTTCTCCTACTCTATGCATTATGCCCAGTGATGTGGCTTCTCCCCGAGGAAATACTCATCCAGAGGCCATTTACTACATATGTTGTATTCCTCATCATTATCATTGCATTAATTCATACCATAGGCATCATGGAGATAAAGTGGGCGGGTACCAAATGGCTAGATTGGTGGCGCAATGAACAGTTCTTCATGATTGCCTCATTGAGCGCATACCCAACGGCGTTGTTGCACATTGTTGTGAAGCTCCTCACAAGGGGTAAGGGAATCCGCTTTAGGGTCACCTCGAAGCAAACAAAGGTAGATGACAATGAAGACAAGTATGCTGAGATGTACGAGATGCGTTGGGTGCCTATGCTGATCCCAGCTATGGTGGTTCTGTTCTCTAACACCATGGCTATTGGCGTGGCCATAGGAAAAGCAATTGTGTATGGTAGGGTATGGCCGACGACACAACGTTTGCATGCGATGCTAGGCCTGTTGTTTAATGTGTGGCTCATGATTCTCCTCCAACCATTTGCTTTGGCGGTCATAGGACGTTGGAGCAAGAAGCCTAGCATCCTTTTCATCTTGTTTCCAGTGGCATTTGTGGTCTTTGCATGGGTGTACATTTGTGTTCATGTTTTTGTTGTCAATTTCTTTTCATCCATGGAGATATAGCAAAATCATTGTACCTTTAGCTGATATAATTATTATGTATAATTGTTGATGGGACAATTTAAATAAAACAATTTGTAAAAGGGTGATTAATATCTGTGGTAAGTTAAATTTAGAGTCTGGAATATTTCTATAGCTTGGTATAGTCACAAATGTCTGAAGTTCGCGAAAAACAAGGTTGTCTCAACATGAGTCCTACACATGAAACCATGAAACCAAGAGAGAAAAATAGGTGTTCACAATCGCACCCCTACCAAATCAATTGATAGTTCATTTTGGTAGGATGTCACACATATATGTGTGTGTGTGTGTGTGTGTGTATGGATGTTCACACATACACACATACGAAGAGAGAAGAGAGGGTAATTGTATCATCAGGGATATTCTCATAGTGCCTTGAAGGGCTTGTTTGGATGCCCATGTACCCAACTCATTCCATTGGGTACATGGGCATCCAAACAAGCTCTTACTTAAAGATTAGAAAATTTTTCCTGCTAAATACCTTAGGACAAACATTCCCTAAGGTTTTCAAACATTTCCTAGGATTTTAATACCTAGAGAAACATGTATGTCCCTACGGTTTTCAAGCATTTCCCTAGGATTTGAATCTCTAGAGAAATACATGGATTCCAATAGCATAAGAGAGAGAGAGAGAGAACCTAGAGGGGATTCTTATGGGAAGACCTCACATGCATTGTATGAGTTCGAAAAAAATTGGTCTGAGTTAGGTCGTACTTTAAGTATCTCTTAAGAACCAACATGATAATTACTCTCTCCATTTCAAATTGTAAGTCATTTTTACTTTGGTCCTAAGTCAAGCTTGACTAACCTTAACCAAGTTTATAAAAACATATATCAACATCGACGTATTTTTGTGATGATTACATTGTGTATCCATAAAAAACTATTGAAGAGACATTCATCTCTCGACACTAACAATGGAAGGAAGCGATCATGAGCATTCTTCGCCTACACGGCTGTTTAGCCCGTTTACACACCATGTAAACGATACACAGTGACTTGTCGTGCCTATTTAATCAGTCGTTTATCCCCATTTAATCACTGTTTAGTCTATCAGTCTATCAGTCTATCTATCTATCTATCTATCTATCTATCTATCTATCTATCTATCTATCTATCTATATACCCTACTAATAATGCACCATCATTTTTATTACTAAACCCACCTTACAAAACATCCCCACTAAAGTATCTCCAATCCATCCACCCAACAAAATGTACCTAGAAAAACAACGGCGTAGAAATGAACTGTTCTCAAATCTAATTGACAGCATCGTGTGTATCATTCTCCTTCTCCCTCCCATCTCCCACGTCCGAGCCCAGCCCCCACGCCCATGCCCCGCAGCCATGGTTTTAATCGTTAAGTTCTCTTTTTTTCTCGTTTATTCTTCGCTCGAGCGACCGCGGAACCTCGCTGACTCCTCCTCTCCCCCACTCCCAGCACCAGGGAGCCGCCACCGCCAGTGGCACAGGGAGCCGCGCGGGGCTGGCCGCCACCCGCGCGAGGGAGGCCGAGCGCCGTGGCCAGCCGGAGCGGCGGCGGCTAGGCGGGTAGCCGGGGCGGCCAGCCGGTGCCTACGCCCGGGCTCCTCCCGCGCTCGCCCGTTGGCCCGTGGCCGGCTGGGGCGGTGGCCAGCCAGCCAGCCATGGCGGCAAGGAGGTTGGGTCGGCCCGGACCTTCGCCTCAGCCACGACGTCCCGGCTGTCGCTGGCTCCCTCGACACCTCCCCTGAGTGTGTCGCACCTGTGAAGCCCGGATCCGTCGAGAGCACGCCATCGGAGGCCGTGTCGGCTACAATGACGGCCGAGGAACTTGACCGGAAGTTGGCAAGTCAGGCGCTCGTTTCTCGATTTGTCTTGTGCCTGCTTGCATTGCCTTTCTGTGATTTCAGTATCTAATATTCCTGCATGCCCGTGTTCTTACACTATATACCTGCACGCCCGTGTCCTGGTGCTTCAGATAACTCAATCGGCAAGGAGGTGTTCCCGTAAGACATGGCTGCGCACTCAATGGATAGGCTCGGGGGATCTGATTCTCGGTTGGACTTTCGTGCGAACTTGAAGCCATCGATTCCGAGGAGTCAATGGTGGTGAACACCGGAGGAGACACCGATGTGAGGATGCCTGTAACAATGTCACGGAAGAGATCAAGACTGTCCCTCATGAGTCATGAGGACCTAACAAACAAGCCGGTGAGTTTGATATTGGAGCATCCATGATCATATTTTCAGATTGGTCCATTTTTCTTAAACTAATGGAGAATATGTTCTTATGTGTTTTAGTTGCTTGCCCGTTGCACAAGGTCGAGGTTTGTTCATCATCCAAGCTCGTTAAGCTACAAGAGGATGCTGCATTTTCTCATGGACAATGGTAAAATACCTGCTCGGGGTTCAATTGACAGTGATTAAGTGGTACCTCATTTAGATTTCGTTTGCCTCACTGTATGCTGTTGTCTTGCTGCTTCAGAAATCTCTGCTCAGGAAAGTGACAGGGTCGAAATTCAAAAATTGCAGAGGAAAGGCAGCCTGCATCAAATGAGAATGATGCCTCAGCCAGTGGGCAGCAGTGTCTTGCTGTCTCTGATGACTCTTCTCATGTGTTTGCACTATGAATATTTTTTGTTTAGGTTGTGGTTGCAAGGCCATGGTGCTATTAGTGAAGGAGCAGGATTGCTGGTTTTAGGTTGATCAGGTCAGTTGTTTGTAGTCCATGCCATTGTAAATGGTTTCCCTTTTGCCAATGCAAATGCCAAATTATTAGTAAATTCAATAAAAGATGGTAGTATGATAGATAATAGGTAGCATAACATAAATTTTTTATTGGTTCCCCTGTCGAGGACCCTCAACTAGACGCCGAGAGGTATGTGTTTGTTCATGCATCTTGATTGGTTAATAATCTACTAATTGAAGATGGCTGGGTGAGGAATCTGACAGCTCCGTGCCAGCGTGCAGTAAATTGTATTGGTAAGAAGGAAGAAGGAAGAAGAAATGTTTCTAGCTGTAAAGGAAAGACATGCAATTTGGATAGACGTAGTTAGGTATATAGTGAGAAATTTTCAACTTGGAAGCATCCTTATGAAAAATTCTGTGATAAGAAGAACTGTAATTTCATATAGATCTACTGTGTTTCTCGATTTTCTACACAGCATTTGTTAAATGTTAACTGAATATGTGCTGCCTCATGAGGTACTGTAATTTTTATATAGAGCTTTTTTTTGTTAGTGGTGGCAGGTTTGGTTCTTTTTTAGTTTTATGATTTATTTTAGTTGTGCTTTTTTTTCTAGACACCACCGTGGCGTTAGCACAGGGAATATACTAACTGTTTAAATGGCTGTTAGCCCAAATAAATAGCTAAACAATAGGTGACCACTTTAGTCCATTTAAACGTTTAGGTTAACACTGGCCAGGAGTAAAATTAATTCTATTATGTGTAGTAAAACTTTGGAGGTCATATTGATCGTCCTTACTGGCGCAAACCCAACAACCATTGTCCTCCCATATCGACCTCCATGTGAAAGACGAACTCACCCTAAATTGGTGCTATTGAAGATGACCAGGCACCGAAGAACTAGGATGACACCAAAACACGTAACATATGTCATTACAAATTTACAAGGCATAATAAAGCGGTAGATGAACAGAGCAGAACATACCAGAACAGACGTGCAGGGGCGCACGTGTAAGGGCAGGCCAAACATCCGCAAATGGAGTTCTTATTTCATTTTTGTTTGTTTGTTTCCCATAAAGGCTAAAAAAACAAATCATAAAAGCAATAACTAAATATCTTTGAACTCTTGATCCATTTCTATAAAAAGATGAAGATTTTCATCACTAAACTGTTGATCCAATTTTGATTAAGAACAAAACTTTTCTTATTAGAACATGGTTCAATAGATGTTCCGATTAATTAAATTGTAAACTAAAATATTGATCAATTTATTGTCCAGTCTAACCTAAATAATTACACCTCTATATGCCAATGCATTCCACGATGGGTGTTGAGTGTTGAGTTGTTGACACGTGAATAATAGAGACATATGTATCCCGCCATAACTCTTGTCGGTTTAAAAAAATTAAAATTATAGAACTCAAATATTATCAATACTAAATTTTTATATTATATTTCATGATCATCGTAAAATAAATTGTAGTTTTAAAATTTTATAGAAGGATAAAATAGAAATAGCTATATAGCATTCTTATTCTCATTTTCCATGAATATTCAATAGCTTATTTTCTTAGCATTCCTATTCTCGTTTTCTATGAATATTCCATAGCTTATTTTTCTCTCGTTGCAAGGCACTAACATATTTGCTATCAAACAATAATCAGCTAAACCCACCAGCTCGCCGGAGATATGGCGCCTATGCCTGGCCATCCTCCCAGCCACTCAGCCAGAGCGCCGCCACAGAACCTGGAGCAACTACCGCCAGGACCGCGACGTACGCGGACGCGATGATAATGAGCACGGCCACGAGCAGGACGAAGAGCAGGTAGGGCCTCGTGCTCCAATGCCCCATGATCCCGAGCGCGAAAGGGTACAGCAGCAGCAGGACCCACACGTTGAACAGTAGCCCGCTCGCCGCGCCGGCGACCTGCGCGAACGACTACCCGAAGGCGGCCGCCCGGCCAATGGCCGCGCCGAAGGCGGAGACGTTCACGGCGAGCACCAGCACGGTCGGCACCAGCAGCGGCGCCCACTGCACTTGGTAGAGCTCCGCAAACCTCTCCCTCGCGGCGGCGCCGCCGCTAGCGGACACCGGCTTCGACGTCAGCTTGAACGGAAGGCCCTTGAGGCCGACGAGCCTGAGCAGGCTGTGCAGCACCGCCGCCGGGTACACGCCCGTCGCGCCGATCATGTAGAACTGCTCATTGCGGCACCAGTCCAGCAGCGTGAGCCCCGCCCACTTGATCTCCGCCATGCCGCACACCTCCATCATGGCGATGCCGACGAACAGGTACAACGCGTAGGTCTGGAACGGC